ATTCAAGTATCTGGTGGTTTAATTCACCAAAAAAAGTATAATTTGTTTGGGAGATTGGTTTAGTTAGAAGTACTAAAGTGCTTTGTCAGATAGATTTATGTAGAAATGCTAAATTGTAAATTGTTCCAATTCTATCTTCTGCTTTTCAATGTAATCTCCTCAGGATCTTGTGGAATTTTACCACTTGTAGTGTGGGTTGTTGTTACCAGGGCCTGCTTAATCTTCGTGGAATGCATGACACAGAATCCAAGCCCGTCTTGCTATGCACATGCAGTGACAATTCTGTCCGGCTCTATGATTTGCCCTCGTAAGTTTTAATGGAGACCTACTTTTATCCTAGTGCAGAACTACATGTAATTGCTCCCAATTTGGGTCCTTTCAACCTGCTTATGGGAATACTGTATTTCTTTTGCTGAAGGTTTTCGGAGAGGGGTAAAATTTTTGCTAAGCAGGAGATTCGTGCTATTGAGGTAGGCCCTGGTGGCCTGTTTTTCACTGGCGATGGAGCTGGTTATAGAGTATGGAAGTGGGCACAGCCAATTGCCACGTCCTGATGTGTCGTGTGATTTCTTATAACATATTCATCATTATGTATTTTTTATGTTAATTATTTGATTTTTTTTTTATCCTTATGGGAAGGCCTTTTGTAGTTTGTAAGTTTGTGGGAGAAATTAGGGATTAGAGAAAACAATTTTGGGTTGCTGGTGGAATGTTTTGCAGCACCAAGCCCGTCAGCTTAGTGTGTGCCGTAATAACTCATAAATCGTAGTGGTCTGACGTTGGGAATTTAGTATTCAATGTGCCAAGTTGAAGTGATATCTTGATTTCTCCCTCTCCTCCCGTCGACCTCTTGGTCGTCCCCTTCTCCCAGCTCTCGCCTCTCTGTATGTTGTTTCTCATGGAATTAATTTTGCTGGCTGGTTGTGTCAGCAATAATTTTATTCAATTAAATGCTTTTTGTGTCTTTGGATATTTTCTGCTTTTATATTCAAAAAAGCGTCCTTTATATTTTATTGTAAAGGTAGAAAGCGAATAACAAAAACAATAGCCAAACAGAGCTATATAACAAAACAAAATATAAGTATTAGTACTTCTTTTGTGAAAAAAATAAAGGGTATGGTCATATGAAAAAACATGCAAAGCCATAAAAAATTTATTGCATGTACAGCCAGAGGCTTAGGAAAAGTCCATTATGCTATGTAGCTGGTTTCCACATGCTACTACTTTGTTGGGAATATGCATCTGTCTTTGACCTCCCACCTATATTTACATAAATACTACAATAACATAGCAGCATTCTTAAT